CCACAATATCACTACCTGTGTAACTGCTATACCACCTCAATAGGACTGCTTCATCATACTGGTGTTGGTTCATGCAGACTTATATTAACCACAATATCACTACCTGTGTAACTGCTATACCACTTCAATGGGACTGCTTCATCATACTGGTGTGTTGGTTCATGCAGACTTATATTAACCACAATATCACTACCTGTGTAACTGCTATACCACTTCAATAGGACTGCTTCATCATACTGGTGTTGGTTCATGCAGACTTATATTAACCACAATATCACTACCTGTGTAACTGCTATACCACTTCAATGGGACTGCTTCATCATACTGGTGTTGGTTCATGCAGACTTATATTAACCACAATATCACTACCTGTGTAACTGCTATACCACTTCAATAGGACTGCTTCATCATACTGGTGTTGGTTCATGCAGACTTATATTAACCACAATATCACTACCTGTGTAACTGCTATACCACTTCAATAGGACTGCTTCATCATACTGGTGTTGGTTCATGCAGACTTATATTAACCACAATATCACTACCTGTGTAACTGCTATACCACTTCAATAGGACTGCTTCATCATACTGGTGTTGGTTCATGCAGACTTATATTAACCACAATATCACTACCTGTGTAACTGCTATACCACTTCAATAGGACTGCTTCATCATACTGGTGTTGGTTCATGCAGACTTATATTAACCACAATATCACTACCTGTGTAACTGCTATACCACTTCAATAGGACTGCTTCATCATACTGGTGTTGGTTCATGCAGACTTATATTAACCACAATATCACTACCTGTGTAACTGCTATACCACTTCAATAGGACTGCTTCATCATACTGGTGTTGGTTCATGCAGACTTATATTAACCACAATATCACTACCTGTGTAACTGCTATACCACTTCAATAGGACTGCTTCATCATACTGGTGTTGGTTCATGCAGACTTATATTAACCACAATATCACTACCTGTGTAACTGCTATACCACTTCAATAGGGACTGCTTCATCATACTGGTGTTGGTTCATGCAGACTTATATTAACCACAATATCACTACCTGTGTAACTGCTATACCACTTCAATAGGACTGCTTCATCATACTGGTGTTGGTTCATGCAGACTTATATTAACCACAATATCACTACCTGTGTAACTGCTATACCACTTCAATAGGACTGCTTCATCATACTGGTGTTGGTTCATGCAGACTTATATTAACCACAATATCACTACCTGTGTAACTGCTATACCACTTCAATAGGACTGCTTCATCATCATACTGGTGTTGGTTCATGCAGACTTATATTAACCACAATATCACTACCTGTGTAACTGCTATACCACTTCAATAGGACTGCTTCATCATACTGGTGTTGGTTCATGCAGACTTATATTAACCACAATATCACTACCTGTGTAACTGCTATACCACTTCAATAGGACTGCTTCATCATACTGGTGTTGGTTCATGCAGACTTATATTAACCACAATATCACTACCTGTGTAACTGCTATACCACTTCAATAGGACTGCTTCATCATACTGGTGTTGGTTCATGCAGACTTATATTAACCACAATATCACTACCTGTGTAACTGCTATACCACTTCAATAGGACTGCTTCATCATACTGGTGTTGGTTCATGCAGACTTATATTAACCACAATATTACTACCTGTGTAACTGCTATACCACTAAGACTGCTTCATCACAGAAGACGTGTAACATGTCAGTAATCTCCGTCAGGTGGACGTCACGTACATTCATCTTTAACCAACTGCTACATGTGATGAGGTCATTCCCACTGTTTCTAGACGCCGAGGCCTCTGGGCAAACATTCCCCTCATGTCCCATGTGTATACATGCATGTCTTTATGACAGGAAACAGGGATCGACGTGCTCCATCGTAAACGAAATATAACATATATTTTGGTACTTTGCCAGCAATGTTCAATCATTCGTTGAGGGTGGTAGGGTAGCCTTGTGGCTGACGGGTTCGCTCGTCACGCCTAAGACCGGGTTCGATTTCCTACATGGGTACAATATGTGAAGCCCATTTACGGTGTCCCCGCTGGTATATTGCTAAAAGCGATCAAACAAGGAATCAAATCTCACTTGAGACACGAATAGATTAATTCATACAGTGAAACATTATAGTACCAATGAACATAAGATAGGTTTCCACATACGATTACGATACCGGACGACAATTTTTGGTTCTCCCAGCAGTGATATTGCTAGACTATTTTTTAAACGTCATAAAACATTACTCAGTCACTGGCTCCAAATGAATGATGTCTTTATACCCTTACATATTTCAGCATCTCACAAATATATTTCAGCATCTGGCACTTTGACTCACTCACAAATACAGGGTCTGTTCGCCACACAGACAGACACTTTGACTCGTTCACACAAACAGGGTTTGTTCCCCACACAAGCAGACACTTTGACTCGTCCACACAAACAGGGTCTGTTCGCCACACAGACAGACTGTGTGACTCACTCTTGTATATTTGGTTTGTTCCCCACACAAGCAGACACTTTGACTCGTCCACACAAACAGGGTTTGTTCCCCATACAGACGGACTGTGTGACTCACTCTTGTATATTTGGTTTGTTCCCCACACAAGCAGACACTTTGACTCGTCCACACAAACAGGGTTTGTTCCCCATACAGACGGACTGTGTGACTCACTCTTGTATATTTGGTTTGTTCCCCACACAAGCAGACAATTTGACTCGTCCACACAAACAGGGTTTGTTCCCCATACAGACAGACTGTGTGACTCACTCTTGTATATTTGGTTTGTTCCCCACACAAGCAGACACTTTGACTCATCCACACAAACAGGGTTTGTTCCCCATACAGACGGACTGTGTGACTCACTCTTGTATATTTGGTTTGTTCCCCACACAAGCAGACACTTTGACTCATCCACACCAATAGGGCTTGTTCCCCATACAGACGGACTGTGTGACTCACTCTTGTATATTTGGTTTGTTCCCCACACAAGCAGACACTTTGACTCATCCACACAAACAGGGTTTGTTCCCCATACAGACGGACTGTGTGACTCACTCTTGTATATTTGGTTTGTTCCCCACACAAGCAGACACTTTGACTCGTCCACACAAACAGGGTTTGTTCCCCATACAGACGGACTGTGTGACTCACTCTTGTATGTTTGGTTTGTTCCCCACACAAGCAGACACTTTGACTCATCCACACCAATAGGGTTTGTTCCCCATACAGACGGACTGTGTGACTCACTCTTGTATATTTGGTTTGTTCCCCACACAAGCAGACAATTTGACTCGTCGACACAAACAAGGTTTGTTCCCCATACAGACGGACTGTGTGACTCACTCTTGTATATTTGGTTTGTTCCCCACACAAGCAGACACTTTGACTCATCCACACAAACAGGGTTTGTTCCCCATACAGACGGACTGTGTGACTCACTCTTGTATATTTGGTTTGTTCCCCACACAAGCAGACACTTTGACTCGTCCACACAAACAGGGTTTGTTCCCCATACAGACGGACTGTGTGACTCACTCTTGTATATTTGGTTTGTTCCCCACACAAGCAGACACTTTGACTCATCCACACCAATAGGGCTTGTTCCCCATACAGACGGACTGTGTGACTCACTCTTGTATGTTTGGTTTGTTCCCCACACAAGCAGACACTTTGACTCATCCACACAAACAGGGTTTGTTCCCCATACAGACGGACTGTGTGACTCACTCTTGTATATTTGGTTTGTTCCCCACACAAGCAGACACTTTGACTCGTCCACACAAACAGGGTTTGTTCCCCATACAGACGGACTGTGTGACTCACTCTTGTATATTTGGTTTGTTCCCCACACAAGCAGACACTTTGACTCATCCACACCAATAGGGCTTGTTCCCCATACAGACGGACTGTGTGACTCACTCTTGTATGTTTGGTTTGTTCCCCACACAAGCAGACACATTGACTCATCCACACCAATAGGGCTTGTTGGCTCTTGTCTAAAAAAACTATGAAAACTGTGGAGGACGTATGGCCAGTGTCGCTCTGTCTGAGGGCAGTGAAGAAGTCTTCATGCATAGACTGTTGTGTATCTAGCAATAGGGCATATACAAGAGGAAAATCTTCTCCTCAACGAAAGGGTGGATGGTATATATCTGGTAGAAAGGTATATGACAAATCGGTGTACCGTGTCTATTAATCCCTCACAATCACATCGGGCATCTGGCAAGGTGGGAATACACCGGTACAGCACGTTGACACGTTGATTGATAGCGGAATAGACGAGTTAATCGAAAGGATGAGTAACATTGTCTCAATATAGCTCAGTTAACTTGAGTAGCGAAAACAAAAAAGGCTATTAATTAACAAGTTTATTGACGTGAGACTAGTCATACACAAAACACAAATCAATCAGACAAAGAATACACTGTCTGGTTGTTAATTTGGTTGAAATGAGTGCACTCTTCTGCGTGTTGTACAGAAGAAATAGCATAATTACTCCACGCTCCATGTCATGTAGCTGTCTACATATATTAAACTATTCCACAAGGCATCGATCATCCTCAACGACAGCTTGTCAAGGAAGTGAAAACGGGGAACGTTCTTTGTGTCGGGCTCGTTATGATGGAAATATTTTACGGATATGTATATGCAAGTTTGTCTGACCTGAGAACAAGAGCTGGCTGTCTTTTCCATAGTGTTTGTTCAAAATGTAATGGTGTGCTCTTTTCTCGTAAATCGCTCGGTGTAAAGATTTACAGCGACAGTGATGACAGGTACAGACATGACTCTTGGTTAATGGTTTCTTCCAATGATGGTAAGTGTGATATCTGATGTAGCAGAGAATAACCAGATGTACATCGTTAATGACAGCAACACAAACTTTGTATGTTTTGTTTTATTTAAGAGAGTATAAAAATCAAAGCAAAAATATAATCATGGATGCATTAGACAACAACGATATTTGGTATCAAACTGACAAGACACCGGGTATAAATATAAATTTCCTTTAAATATAAGGAACGATAGACAATACATGTTAGATTGAAAAATACAGCTATAGATGGGTGTTCAATAGTTCAAATCAGTATTCAGATGTTTATCGCTTTCAGACAACACATTCAGTAGACATACAGATTCACACAAGACCCTTTACGGCGGAGTGTTTTATGGTCGTTTTGTCCTGTTTAATGTAATAGAAATGTTTTGTCTTTCAAGTAACAAGTTTACAAACACGAACTTAAATATATTCTTCTAAAAATTCGCTCTTATTCAAAACATAAATAATTAATTATAAGATAATTCATTTTCTTTGGAATGCTTTACTATTTATTGCACCAACGACATATTAATTATCATAGAAATAACATGTGCCTTAATTCAGATGATTTTCCCATGTCTCTTATGGTCTGTATAATGCCGTGGGCACGTTAGAATGACACAGTGCACAATTCTATCACAATATGCTTGTCGGTTATTTGGAACCCTCCTACAATCCATATATATGATGGTGTTTGACACTGATACGTACAGAGACATTACCTCAATCACAAGTACTTGAAATCCTAATGTACCAGCACTCTGACGGGTGCATACAGAGATATGTCCAATGCACTAGCACTGCCAAGGTAGGAAGGCTCCAAGTTCTGCCAGCGGGGTTGGGTTCTTCATCCAGTCCAGAACTTGTTCAATGGAAACAACATAGACATCACGCATGGACACTAACTTCCTTATGAATCTGTCGAGTCCTGCTAAGTTTGGTTTATAGATGAAGTGGGAGAACCACTGTTGCCTCAGTGTCACACCGAAAGGTGCTCGGTTGCCATCATAATGGTTCATGAAGTTCCGCCACAAGAAGTTGAAGGTTTCGTCTGCTGTTGGTGGGTTGAACATGCAGCCGTCAGCGTATGTGCAGAAGTAGCTTTGTGTGTAGTCCAGAAGAGGTAAAATAGGGACCTCCCATAACCCCGGATAAGCCCCCACGGGGCACCCACTAATATCACATCTATCCCTCCAGCGGAAGTCGAGTGTGTAAGGCCAGACGAAGTCCGCCTTGGTCTGAGGGGTCGGTAGGGACAGGGTGCTGTCATACAGGAGGTTCTGAGATTTGAGGATCTTGAACTGGGCGTCTCCGAGAGGTTTCAAAGCGGGGCTTCTCCAGCCTTTGAGGTTTCTGACGGGAAGCTTAGCTTGGAGATAATTGATCTCGTTGTCTAGGTCTGTCTCTAACGAGTTGGAACGTCGATATGCGTCCATGTCGTCCCCTCTCAGTCCAACTTCTATGCCCATGCCAGCTAGACGTTTGAGGTATGTCATGTAGTTCCCACTCTTTGACACGAACATTGTCGCCGAGATGGAACAGTTGTTGGGGTTCTTTCTGCCAGAGTCAAACAGATGCACGAGATTTAGGTACGAGTTTACGTTGATTGGGCCATCGAAAGTGAAGTACACCATCTGGGGTGTCTCCATCTCTGCTAGCCCACCTGGCGGGTTGGTTGTTCTGCACATACAGTCAGGTAGCCTACAGTTCCAGCCTTGAATACATGGCAATGATGATGGGGAAAGCGAGTGAGATGGGAGTCCAAATGTTGCAGTTGATTGCAGGGACGGCGTTTGTGCTGAGCTCTGGGCTCGTGACGCTCCCCGGTTTTTTGCCGCTGTTGTCAGTAGTTTGCTTACGGCTGTAGGGAAGGAAAGCTTGGGTGTTGATGGCTTATGTTTGCGAGACACTACAGGAGGAACTTGTGCAGATACTGTGGGATGAGAGTCTGAGACAGATGTCTCGACAATCTGTGACGGATGTACCTTAGTGATAAACTTGGTGCCTTTGGTGCTCCTTGGCGTGGTCGTCGTAGGAAAACGAATATTTGTAGTGGGCTTCGTCGTCGTTGTAGTAGTAGTGGTTATTGTTGTTGTAGGTGTTGTGGTTGTCGTTGCAGTTGTCGTCGTAGTTGATGCAGTTGGTGGTGTAGTCGTGGTTGCTGAAGGCGTAGTTGGTGTTGAAACTGACGTAGTTGATACTGTTGCATTATTTGACATCTGTGCTGTTCCACATCTCCATGAAGATAACATCTGTATTTGAGATATGGGAGTAGGTTCCCTCATCCAGTCCAACATCTGCTTCACACTAACAATATAAACGTTCTTCAGCGCCAGCACCTGTTGAATAAACCTGTTCATAGCATTTAGGTTGTGCTCCGACCAGAACCAAGCAGCATGCATATTGAAACCGAACGGTGTTCGAGAACCTTTATAATAATCTAAAAAGTTTTGCCATAAATATTTAAAAGCTTGTTCCTCTGTGTCTGGTCGATTGAAGCAGCCATCAACATAGGGGCAAGGGTAGGCGTTCTTGTAGTCCACTAAAGAATTGACAGGTACCTCCCAGAATCCAGGGTGGCGGGATCCTGGTTTCGGGCAAGGGATCACCATACAGCTGAACGGATAGCCGTAGTCGAGGGTGTACGGCCATGGCCGTTCCATTCCTAACTTGCTTCGTGTGTAAGTCAAAGATATGTCATAAGTATAGCCTAAAGACTTGAGAATATCTGGTTGCACATCTCCGGCTGTCTTCAGATTAGGGCTTCGCCATCCGACGATGTCTTCAATTGGAATGCGTCCAAGATTTGCCAGGTTCTTTCTTTGTTGATCCGCCTCGTACTCGAGTTTGTCTCCAGTGCTGATGGAGGTGTGCGTGACACTGTGAACCCCAATCTCCATCCCTTTGTTGTAAAACTCATGCACCAGTCGGTAGTCCGTGTACTGATCCTGGACGTACAGACTCATAGTGATTGGACACCCGTTAGGGTTCTTCCTGTCGGGCGGAAACAGACGTCGGTAGTGGCTGGCCATTTCTACATTCAAAGCGTCATCAAACCCAAAGTATACGATTTGCGGAATCTCCTCCAAGTCCATATTAAGTCGTGTTGTACTACAGAAGCAGTTTGGTAATTGACAGTTAATACCCTGAACACACTGAGACTGAAAACTCTTTTGGACCATTGTCAGCACACCCAACACGACTATCAGCATCGACTTTCTCATGTTCGCTCGGCGAAGTGACAAGTGAAGGGGAAATGTCTGTACTGTCTTGATAAAGCTGTAAACTCAGATGACGTCTGGAGATATGTCGTCTGCTTGACTTATTTCTGGAAGTCTGCTTCAAAGGTGCGTGCCGTGTGCTCATACACTGTCACCCAGTGATTACCGTTCCTTTTATAGCCGAGGGGCGTTGTGATGTCTGTCGGTGACGTCACGTTGCGGTGTGAGTGACAAGGGTGCACGCGCCAATAGATGTACATCTACATATTACTGTATCGTAGGTTGATGGGATTGGTGGGACCAGGGCTTCACCCCACCTGACCAACATGTAAATACACACGATCCTAACAATGTATACAATATTGTTTAAGGATCTTCCTTGATGCACATGTGTCATTTCGCCCACGGCATTAATTGTGTGTTATATAATTAGATATTTACATCGTTTCTGTTGGAAAGGACAAAGACACACTGGGTGGCTGATGCATGCATTCGGTATATTGAATTTCTGTGGTATAATTCGATGACATTTACCTGATCCACACTAAATATATCTCTCTATCTATTGATAACCACATAATTGAGTTATTAACATTTCAAAACAGAACGTTAGAAATATACAAGTTGAGAGTAGTTACGACATCTTGTCGAATAAAATGTAATTGATATGCGCAATGGACCACGGAAGGTACGGGGTTCGAGTCCCACCTACGTCATAAGATGTTAAACTTGAGCACTTGTTGGACTCGACACTACGCGGACAGAACTGGGTCGACTCGGAGTCAGCATACTGTGTCTGAGTGGGGTATACATGTTAAACTGTAGCGTTGTATCTTGGTACGCTAGCTCTGACCACACATGGTCATCCGTACAGACGAGTAGGTAGAATTGTTTCCCAGAACAATGCGAGGCCACAAGCCCATCATACAAAGCATTTATAACGAGTAGCAGCATAACAATAAGAAACACTAAATTAACAAAACTATTTGTTATCACGAAGACGATTTAATTGTCATAGATAAAATATAGATGATATATGATAAAATATACTAGATACTCAACGAGATTCTTTATATAGTTAACCAGTCAATCGAAATTCAACAGCCAATAATCTGCCCCCTGCTGACGATGACGTATAATGTTGTCATAATTGTACACAGTTACATTGGAGTTTCAACGTTGTTCATGCTTAGAATACCTTCCTCATTGCAAACATGTAAAAAAAAGTAATCACATTCTTGGAAACAGTCTTATATTTCGCACTTTACTCCGAAATGAAAGTTAAGTTTGATCAACTGTCTCCAAGACAGGGTCGTGTTTACCATCACTTTCAGAGGGTGGTGCATTGAACATGCCTAACATTATAGGAGGAAACCTAGCAACGGCACAACAGATAACGGTATGGTACGCTATGACTGAAAGCTACAGTTTTATTTCAAACAGTAAACTTGGAGTAGTGTGAAAGGTGGAATATACAACAACTAGGGAAAGTGTATCACTCAGCGTTTACTTAAAATGAGAATGTCTAACAATAAAACATATATTTGGAGTTAAACACTTTAAAAGTGTTATCTTAAAAATAGTGTTATTTCATTTCGTGTTTTGTTTTGGCCAAACTGCATTAAGATATTGCCTACAAGCCTACACAGTAACATTAGGAATGATGTAACAAAATGCAGAAACAGAAAGATGTTTCGTAACAGATCCAAACATTTACAGTATTAAAATACATTCTTTCATTTAAATGTATTTGCTCTTTGGTAGATGAAAGGATTGAAGCATTGGCGTCTTCTTTAATTAGTAGAAGCAATGGTACGTTCTCAAGTACGGACGACTTTACATATATATGAATACATGTCTTTACATCAAATCGTGTTATGTACAATCCAAACAGTACTTGTTGCAACAACTGTGTCATCTTCTGTCCAACTTTGGTAATGTGTTTGTAGCCACGTGCGCTGGTCATCGCGCATGTTAAACCATCAAAGACAAACTAAAGATATGAATATGCACAATGAACATATGACATATTAAGTAAGGTCACATGAGCCCATTGCTTCTGCAGCCAGTGCACTCATGATGCATATGTGTTATGAACGCTCTGATCAACATCCTTGGGCATCCATCACTGTCGATGTATCTGGTTGCAGGGTGATCTCCGAATGCCAGGAGGAAGACACAGGGAGATTAAGTACCTACCTGGAATTTTACTAATCGTCTTTCTTAATTGCCACCAGTACTGATATATCAAACCTAACTGAACAAAGCTAAAGGCAATAATAGCAATTATGGCTGCACCGTACAATTTATGACTTGAACTGAGCTCACTGCATTTCCCGAGGTACCGGTTTTCTTACGTTCATTATCATAACATCTAAGCGTGAGTCCTACAGATGAATCTCTCGCCGAGAATTATTTATTTAATATCGTTTGAATATATAAGGGCGTAAATGGCTCTCGTTGACAACAGATTTGTCAGTGATTTTTCATCACAATTGTAGCCAAGATATACCCCTGCAATGGCAGTAATGAGTTAATTGCTCTGTTATACTTACTTTCGGAAGTGCTAACATGTAAACCTTCTGTTATACAGACATTCGGGCGTGTCAGCATGCACACCTTCTATTAAACAAACTTGGGGAATGTTAGCACATAAACCTTTTAGGTTTGACATGCTATTAATATCTTCAGGTTCTATATATGATAATTTACACCCAGCGGTTCCTTCGTAAATAGCATAACAACCAGATCGTAATGAAACAAATGCGGGCTTAATAGAGGACAGTCATACCGTACTGTAGTTAGGCCACATTTCTGATAGCTAAAAGGGGGCGGTGGGGTAGCCTAATGGTTAAAGCGTTGGCTCGTCACGCCGAAAACCCGGGTTCGAATCCCCACATGGGTACAATGTGTGAAGCCCATTTCTGGTGTCCCCCGCCGTGATGTTGCTGGAATATTGCTAAAAGCGGCGTAAAACCAACCTCAGTCAGTCAGTCTGATAGCTAACGACATCCATGTGCAATACTGCTGTAGCCACCCATCACAGGGGTAACATCTGCAGGTCTTCTCCCCATACTGGCAATCAAACCCGAAGTCACGGCATCGGAATCCTCTGCTTCACCGGTCTTTTTCGACCTTTCAGACTAGGGACGATTCCTTACTTTATTGGTGGCCACGTGCTTCCTGATATTACGACTACTAATCAAGTTGTTAATGTTCCAGTTAGCACCGATGTTGCGACAGGACAGCCCTGAGTCATGCATGCCAGTAACTCGCCTTCGTGGTTTTTGTGTGAAAATCTACGTCTTGCCATGTCATTTTTTTCTAATTTTAGCTCTGTCGTCTTTTAAATCAGTTCATAAAACTCTATTGTACATACTGCAATTTTGAAAAAATATACCCCAATATGCTTGGCGATTTCGCTGCACGTAAACATGCCACCCATAGCTTTTGAGATATTGTGTGAAACATGATATGCATTCCAGCACGCTGGGGTATGATCGCTTATATGGACCAACATTTTAACGATTGTCCTTGGATTCAGGTGCTGCTTAATTAATGGTCCTGTGTATATGTTTTACAAGGAGAGAGGGCAAGCCTTTGTTGATCGTGTTACTTTGATGGGGTTCTTATCAGGTGCATTTAACTAGGACGTGTGATAGTGCTTCCCTTTGACTAAATGTGTGCACTGGATTTTGAAAGTTTATCCAATGTAAATGTAGATATTTTCATTTTAAAACATTTTTGCTATACGTCAATTTGGTCACATTTATTTCACGAGCTGTCCTCTAACTTTAAAATCAACGTGTCCATTTACAGCTATTCCGCACATCGGTAGTACTTTGAGTTTCAAGCATCTGCGAAACATTTAATAATAATAATAATAGTGGCTATTTGTAAAGCGCCAGTGTCCACCCACTCATGCATGCTCATTTACGGTTTAACTTTGTGTTTTACGTGGTTTGTTGTACCAACATGAACAGGATTCAATTGATTGTGAATTTAGAATAAAACACCTCAATACCAAGTCACATGACATAAACAGTAAATAAAACACAACCTGTTTCCCAAATCCCAGTGGAATGTAACGCGCAGTGCGAGTACAGATAGACAGGCAGACAGGATTAGCTGCTGTAAGTGAAAATCAAAATCCAACTACATGTATATCAATTCCAGTTCCACAGCTAGTACCGATTTTTAAACGTCGTTGTAACCATCTTCCAAAAGAATAACATAGCTCTTCCTTAACGTCTATATAACTATCCTGATTTTATTCACAAACTAAACCCATCCCGTAAGGTAAACGTACTTAGAAGCTCATGCATTTATCATAAATGTTAACTTTAAATTGTACATATATTTAAGTCATTTTTTTATCATAACATAATCTCTCATTTACAGTTATATATTAGCTTACGGGGATATCCGCTACTTGTGTTTTTAGGGAGTGACGATGTATCGTGGGTCGGCCTATAATATCCTTCAAATGTTTCCGTGGGAGGTGGGCGGTACGCTGAATAGCGTGATTAAACAGGTATTCTTGTTGGAGGATAGGTACCTGGTGGCAGCGGAGGGAGAATGGGCAAGCTTATTCTGTAATGCATATAAAAGGTACCGTATAAAACATTATCAAGAAATATCCGAGACGTATTTCAATAAAGGAGAAATATATAATGCATACAAACAAAACATGTGTCCACAGACAGAAGCTATTCGCAAGGGTCCTATCTTTTACTTCACCTGTATCGGGTTCTTTCAAGTGTAATTTGTCTTCAGCGTCAAACTAACCTGTATATATAACTCAGGGGCCGTATTATTTATATTGACGCTGATGGCAAATATCACTAGGTAATGTTACATTGAAATCAACTGTTGCAAATGAACGTGGGACTAATTAATATTCAAGACATATTTCATCAAATGGGATACATATACATATCTGTAATGCTGAAGGCAAAATACACTGGCATAACCCCAATGCTGGACGTCAGTGATCGATATA